ATAATAATATAGGCTAAATTTCGGGCCCGGGCCCAGGCTCGGGCTTCAGGCTTTTTATGAGGGCCGGGCTCGGGCCCAAATTGTAGGCCCGATGGTCGGGCCGGGCTCGGGCTCGGGCCTTAAAAAAATTTATTAATACACAGTAAAAGCCCGGCCCGAGCCCGGCCCGGCCCGGCCCATGAACAGGTCTACACACCACAAAACACTCCTTTAGAGAGAGACAAAAAACCGGTATCCAGCGTCGTGTAGTTAAACATCTCCGACGGACAACTCAGCGCGAGAGAGAGAGAACCAGTATCCTTTTATCCAGCGCGATTTGATATATACTCGAAGGGAAATTCCTTGTTGTCCAAACGCAGACGATCCGAACCGCCTTCATTCTCTCTACTGTAATCTGCTTTTCATAACTACATTTTAAACGGTCAACGGTAATTTGCAGTTGGACTATGAGCGTTTCTGCTTATTCTTCCAGCACGACTCAACTATCACAACCTCCCAAATTATCCTCACCTCTTACCCAACCTAATCCAACCCAATCCCACCTTCCTAACCCTAATCGCAGCCAATCAGTTGATAAAAAGCAGTTTGTCCTCAGTCGAAACGACCAACCTATCGATCCCATCGTCTCATGGACCTCTTCCATTTCCCGTCGCTGCCGAAACGGTCGACTGGCCGAGGCAGCCGCTCAGTTCACCCATATGAGAATCAGCGGCGTGGAGCCCAATTACGTTACATTTGTAACTCTTCTTTCTGCTTGTGCCGATTACCCTTTAGAGACTCTTAGTTTTGGAGCTTCAATCCATGCTTACGTTCGAAAATTGGGCTTGGATAAGTATGATGTAATGCTGGGGACTGCGCTTGTTGATATGTACTCTAAATGTGCTCGTGCAGATCKTGCTCGCCAAATGTTTGATGAAATGTATCTGAAGAATTCGTTTTCTTGGAACACAATGATTGATGGGTATATGAGAAATGGGGCTGTCGAGGATGCAATTGCCTTGTTTAATCAGATGCCAAAGAGAGACAAAATTTCTTGGACTGCACTGATTGGTGGGTTTGTCAAGAAAGGATACTTTGAGGAAGCATTGGAACAGTTCCGAGAAATGCAGCTCTCAGGAATAGAGCCTGATTATGTGACCATCATCTCTGTCCTCTCAGCATGTGCAAACTTGGGGGCACTTGGGCTTGGCTTATGGATACACCGTTTTGTATTGCAACGGGACTTTGGTGAGAACATCCGGTTAAGCAACTCGTTGATAGACATGTATGCAAGGTGTGGATCTATTGAATTCGCAAGACAGGAGTTTGAGAAAATGTCTAAACGAAGCTTGGTTTCATGGAACTCGATGATTGTGGGCTTTGCTGTTAATGGATATGCAGAGGATGCTCTAGAATACTTCTCTCTGATGCAGAAGGAGGGGTTTGAACCAGATGGAGTGAGTTTTACAGGAGCTCTTACTGCCTGTAGCCATGCCGGCCTAGTTGATGAGGGCCTCCAATTCTATGATATGATGAAGAGGATTTACAAAATTACCCCTAGAATTGAGCACTATGGATGCATAGTGGATCTCCTTAGCAGGGCTGGTCAGTTGGAAGATGCGTTGCATATAATAGAAAGCATGCCCATGAAGCCAAATGAAATTATATTGGGTTCCTTGCTGGCTGCATGTAGGAATCGAGGGAATCTCAGTTTAGCTGAAAAACTGATGAGTTATCTAACTGATTTGGATCCTAGCTGTGATTCCAATTATGTGCTTCTTTCAAACATGTACGCTGCTGTTGGTAGGTGGGATGGTGTAGGAAAAGTTAGGAATACAATGAAGGCACTCGGAATAAGGAAGAAACCGGGATTCAGTGCTATTGAGATTGACTGCAACATCCATGAATTTGTGGCTGGTGATAAATCTCATTTACGCTCTCATTATATTTATGATATGCTCAATTTTTTGTCGCATGAATTGAGCCTATGTGGGTATATTCCTGAGGCGATTGAAGGGGGACTACCTGCACATGATTGAACACACTAAACTAATGTTCTTAGTAAATATATTTATCTTTGATCATCATGCATAGATGTACCAAGTCAAATAGAAAGAGAAAGCAAGATCATATCATTGTGCTTTTTTTTTTCAGATTGAAGTTTGAAGATAAAGTAAAAAGTGAAAAGCAAGAAAAGTATATAATTTGATGTTATTAGATTTAGATATGGATTGTTATTTTATGCCAATTGTTTTATAGTATTTTCAGTCTTAGCATAGAGAGTAAAAGATACAGAAAAAGGTATAAACCATGGTGGTGGGCAACAAAATACCCTTTTACAAATGTTGTAGGAATCAGACTCAGACTGCGCCCGACAGTTGAACTGTTGACCCGTGGACCCAGTGACCTTTCTGGATCCCACTGAAATGATGGTTTTCATGGTTGTACATCGCCCCCCCC